TGTCTATCTCTGAGATGTGGTATTGTGATTATTTACATTATTTGGACTGTTATCCTCATCTTCATTGCCATATTCAGAACGTTTTGGCTGTTGTAAGCTCCAGCCTTCTTCAAGTGATTGGAATTTCGAACTGAAACCTTTATTAGTCCACTGGAGTAGATCGTTCTAGTTCTATGAGATGCATGTCACTGGAAGAGCCCTTGTTTTGTCGACCAATCAGCGTGTGTGAACATTCAGTTTGCTTCCTTCACATGAACTGCAGTAAAATTTCGAATATCTAAGAATTAAATATTACAAGAGGACACCAGAATTTTAGAAATACCAAAGTGAGGCATGGCCCAAAATTGGGAACCACTGGACTAGACCCAAAAGAGTTGTGAGTTCAATACCAGGCTACAGCAGTGGTGAACCAAAAAACTTGGAGAGTTGAGTTAAAGGGAAATAACTGAGACATCAGGAAGAGGCATGGCATATGGGACTAGAAAAATCTATCTCAGTGGATGAAATAAAGGGTTCGGTTTGAAATCACATGAAGAAGGCCAAAACATTGTGAATATGGCAATGAAGATGAAGATAACAGTCCAAATAATGTAAATAACAAATATTTTTATTTCATTTTTATCTGGCGTGATTAAGCTATAATTTTTTCCATTTTTAACATGATTTGTTTTAATATTTGTAAAATAAAACTAGTAAAATTACACAATCGAATAATTTAATAAATAACTGAAAAAAAAAAAAATGATCCCATGCAAAAAAAAAATACTCATTTACAGTTGTCCTCATCCTTATGAAGATTTTTTAATCATTTTTAATGTTTTTAACAATTGAATCTCATACCTTATAAAATGATCAAATTTTTTTCTTTTTTTTTAAATCACGTGATATGTTTTTACTGTGTTGTTGCATGTTTACTCTATTTTTCTTTTATCAAATTTTTTTTTTTTAAATTATTAAATTTTTTAGTTGTGAGAAATTTACTTTAGATAGTAAAACTTACTAGTGATTAAATATTTTAGATAAAAATTGAAGATTATTTATTTATTAAGTTGCTGTGAGAATTCCAATACCTAAAATAGTTGGGTCAAATCTGTGCAAAAGTGTATCACAGAACACTTTCAACTTCATACACTTTCAAAAAAATCTCGAACCCTCATTTGTTAATAAATATACAAGTAGGCGTGACTAGCCACCCACGCTTAACTAATTTTTACAGCTTGTGACTGAAATCCAAGTTTGCACCAAGTCTCTGTGAGCCACCCGAAGCAAATAAAAACAGAAACTCATTCATACTCGCCAGTGAGAATTGTGACATCAATCGAATTGCAACTAAACTTCACGTCACACAATTTTAAATTTTTTCGTTTATACAAACATTATACAACAATATTGACACTCACTCATCAAAACTTATCAGTGAACTTTATTCTTATTCACTCACCAAATTCCTTTATGCAGAAGTTAAACAAATTCCTGCTAATAAATCAACTTTATTTCTCTACATTCGAGAACATTGTATTACACAAAACAATCAAAAGGTAGATAACTTATTTGATCACAAATTGCATTCAACTTTACTACTTACATGAACAGTAAATTTTTTTCTCTTGCAATTGAATTAAGTTACAGAATCTTCAATAACAAATTCTAACAACCTTTTGAATTAGAACTCATTAACAAACTTGAGTTCAACATAAATTAAACTAACAAGATTTCACCTAATAAAAAAAAAAAAAAGACTATATTTTTGTAAAATATTTTCATTACAAAAATACATTGAAAATTACTTGTTATTCAAATATTTGTCTTGTCTTCAATCACAAATGTTTCCTGTTGTTTCCTCTTCTTGTTTTTGCATTTTGCTTAATGTAGAGTAAAAAAAATTGTATGGATTGATTTGGGCTGTCAACACCATCAAAAAAATGGTAACCACCAAACTTTCCACTACAGTGGCCTCACTCTAGGAGAATTTGGTGTGAATTAACAGGAAAGATCCTATTGGTTATATAAAAGTATGTACCGCTAAAAAAAGAGCATAGCATGATGAAAAAGACGCCAAACTTGACGAAAACAAAATTTTATCATCTAAATGTTGATGTTATTATTAAGAGGAAAGATCAAAGTATTTTTTTTACATTTTTTAATCGTTCCTAGCACGTCCGAAATTTTCATTAAAAATCTTGTTTTTTTTTTTTTGAGTCAGCGAAATTGACCATTTTTTTCCATTTTATAAAAAAACCTGGAAATCTCACTTTGAAATTCTTTTAAATATCAATTATCATTTTTTCAAAACTTATTTTAAGAAAATCAGAAATTATAATGTTTATTTAAAATATTTTGAACCAAGCTTAACTTAGCTTCTGCAACGAAAAGATGTAATTTGAAAATAAAACAAAGCAGGTCCTAAACTTTCGCGCCACTTGACAGGTGATGAATGACATTGATGGATTCTGTGATGATAATTTGTTCAAGGAAGGAGAGAAGTGAAATAATTTACATTTAAGTGAACAAATTATTTACCTCATTATTTTTAAGGAAAACTTTCAGGGCTCTAATTTTTTTTTTTGTACTTAGCTTTCACCTTTATGTTTACAATGCTTTATAGAAAATATATTATAAAGAAGTTAAAATAAGACTGTTAAGAGTGAGATTAAATTTCATAAGAAAGGTATCTAATTAATTTATAGGTACCTTTCTTATGAAATTTTATCAGAAGTGTACATAAAATACTATAATTTTATGTACATTTATTACATTTTACTGTGTTTTTTAATATAAAAATAAGATAAATTTCAAAAGATGATACTACTGATACTTACTTGTAGGTACCCTTCTCAGTTGAAATTAAAAAATCAAATTAACTTCTCCACACATGTTTCGCAAAAGTAAAGGACTTAACAGCGAAGAACAATACTTAACTCAAATAACACAACTTAATTGTATTCTGGTTGGTCTTCCGTACTTTATAATTACAGCAAAATTATTTTTACAAGATTTTTCAAATTAATGTGTGCCATATCAAAAAGACGTGCTAAAAATTGTCTATGTTATTTTACTAGTTCCGGTGATATAAAAGGAGAAATAAGGATTTTTTAATCAAAATTTAGAATGTTCTAAAAAGGAAAAATTTTTAAAAATAATTAAAAAAAAACAAACTTTGGTCTTTCCTCAATAAAGCATTTAAACGATAAAAGTTTGTTTTCGGCAAGGTTGGCGTCTTTTTCATAAAGCTATGCTCTTTTTTTTAGCGATTTCGTGGAGGTACCTTTTAAGGTTTCTTTAATTGTTAATTTGAGTTCAGCATGTACATTTACACGGAATTATGATGATTTCGAAAAATTTTAAGAGATAATTAGCGCGGGTGTTAAAAAGCAAATTTACCGTTTTTTATTTGAAAGATAAAAACTAAATCCATATTAAAAAAAAAAAATTCCGTATGCAAATAAAAAGGTTAAAGAAAGTATTGGCACGTTCACTCATCACTCCATTAGACGAAAAATGTAAACAGCAAATTTAAAAATCTTAGAAATTCAATATTTATCCTAGAGATGTGTTTCAAAGTATTAGTAAATTTTAAAGATTTAAGATCAGCAATATTTTTCTACTGTCGTTCTTGACTTTTAAAAAGCGCGCGAAAAAATACCAGCAGTGCAATAATCAAGAAATTGTTATTGTTTATGTTTAAAAATAAATTATCTTTAGCTTTTTTTGGAGTTATTGGCAAAAAAAGAAAAAAAATTGGACTTCTTGCTGGTCATTCGTCCCCCATTACTGTCATACTGTTTTTAGTAATACAGTGCGAGGTACTTCTGTTGGCGTAATCAGAAATTGTGGTCTATTTACTTCTTTTACAAACTTTCGGTGCAGAAAATCACTATGCACTACAGTAAAGAAATGTATTTTTTTTTTTTTTGGTAAGTGTAGTTTTATTTATAACAAAAACAAATTAAATAATAGAACAGAACCTTTTTTCCGTGTTGAATAGCAATGACAAATTAAAAAAGAACAAAAAAAAAAACATTAAATAATACAATAAACCGTGTTAGAGTTAGGTGTTTTAGGATTAGGGATTGTGTTTGGCTTCTTTCTGTGTAGAAAAGGGGACACATTAAAAAAAAAAATAATAAAATAAACCGGTTTAACTTTTAGACTAGAGTTTGGAGGTGTTAGGGTTAGGGATGAGGTTTTCTGTGTAGAAAAGGGGACAAATTAAAAAAAAAAATTAAATAATACAATCAACCCTTCTACTTTTTTGTGCATTAATTTTTGTTTTATTTTAAAATATAAAAAATGCTTTATTTTTATTATTTAATTTCTTTTAATTTGTCATTGCTATTCTACACAGAAAAAAAAGGTTTTATTCATTGTATTACTTAATTTGTTTTTGTTTAAAGTTTCCTGTTATAAATAAGACTACACATATCAAAAAGAAAAAAAAATACGATAATGCGTAGTGATTTCAAAAAGAGATATAGCTGTAAAAGAAGTAAATAGGCCACAATTTCTGATTACTCCAGCGGAAGTACCCCGTACCGTATTACTAACAGTATGGCGGTAATGTGGGACGAATGACCAACAAGAAGTCCGATTTTTTTTTTGCCGATAACTCCAAAACGGTAGGTTTCTTTATAATTTAATTGTTAATTCGAGTTCAGCATGTACATTTACACGGAATTATGACGATTTCGGAAAATTTTAAGAAATATTTAGTGCGGGTGTTAAAAAGCAAATTTACCAAATAAAGAAGTAAAGTAAAAAGCATTCACCAAGACATTGAAAAAAATGAACTAAATCTGCAGTATTTTCCTCATTTTCTGATTGTACAGGTACTGCCTGCCAATTTGATGTTTTGAAAAAGATTTTTTACGGTCTTTTTCATTTTTTTTTAACATTTAACTTCTTCTATCTAGCACCTTATGCATTTACAATATACATTTTTATGGTACCGTATACTGCGATAGTATCAGTTCCTAAATTAATTAAAATAAAAGTATATTTACCTTTTCTTTATCATCGGAGCTGTCCAAAGTTGGATTATTTCTGTTGTGGTAATCCTCTTGGTTTTTCTTCATTAAGTCACCACGTTTGAAATATTTCTTATTAGGAGGCTAGAAATATCAAAACAAATGTTAGTTTAATTGTTGGAGTTTGATTTTTTCCGTGATGAATGAAGAAATATATTTTTTGCATATTATTCGTTAAACAAACTTGGATAAAGACTAAAAAAGTCAACTGTAAAAGTATTTCTCAGTAATTTCTCTCTACTCTGCAGCTCTAGCAGTAGTAAACATAGTGGGGATTCTTTTAAAAAATTAAAATATAAATTATTAAATATTTATTTACCGATATTGAATAATCCTACTTACAAATATATTTTTTTCTTGAAGCTGGCGTTTTTTCCTCTCTATCTCAGCCTTCAAGAAATCCATTATCACAAAAAGTAATAAAAATAACAAAAAAATAAACTAAACTATTTTCTCTTAAATCGAGACAAAAACAAGATCATCTACTTCTGGTCATGGCCAGACAGTGTGGGTCAACTAAGCCAAAGTAGAAAGAAAGCTTGTTGTTCATTTGTCAAAATCAAACAATCACACTGATTGGCTGATTTGAAAGTGAGAGGGGGAGAAGAGCAGATAGATTTTGACAAATATGGTGGCGTATCTACTTCCCCTGGGTCGAAATTGTTGTTATTTTGTCATTTCTGTATTCTTTTTCGACCGTATTAGCCATGTTAATGGCTTGACAGTTGCCACGTATAATTTATGGAATATTATGTTTAACTGGGAAATCAGGAAGTTGCGAGTAGTTGAAATGGTAGGTAGAATATGTAGAAAGAACTTTAAAATTTTATTCACTTTCTCAATCAGCTGTCTTATTGTTGTTGAAGTTATTTTATTCCTTCGTCATATTTAATTAATTTTATAAAAAAATTGAATAAAATGGTTGTAGTGATTTTATGTTGGATTCTATCCACTGTTTAGCATCCATAAATTTTCAGTGCGGTCGATCTTTTTTTCTTCGGTAACAGAACCAATATTCAAGTTTCGCTTTCGTTTTTAATTTTACTTCGAATACGAAAGAATCAACCATCTAGTTTAACACAACCACCTGTGTGTTTTAATGTTGTGATATCAATAAAATGTTGTTTGTTGAATAGATTTTTATCTTCTTTAAGAAGCATAATTTTGTTTATATTTTTTATGCCTTTCTTATTTCCACGACAGAGTGGCAGAAAGTTTCAATTGCCTGCAAATTAATCTGACTGAATTTGAATTGATATTATCAAACAAAATACAACGTACAAATATTTTAAATATTTTTGTTTGAGAATAATTCATAAGTAGCAAAAAGACAACCTGAGCGCAATAAAGAATTTTTGCTAACTAAAATGTTTTAAAGTTATGCAGAGTAAAAGGAAATAGTTAATAATTCGTATTGATAGAGAAAAATTAATCTATTATTTTCTTGGTTTAAAAGTACCTAAAAAAATTGTTTGCTATTTTTTCTTCATAAGAAATGTCAAACATGACACTACAGTTAATATTTAACAATGTTATTGTTAATGATTTGCTCACTGTAACAGTCTTTGCAATATATCGATTTCATAATTTATAAAAATGAATGCACCTCCATACTGTCAAAAATGGTAAATAAGTACAAGCCTTTTCTACTTTTCTATTAACTATATTTGTTAGGCTTTTTATTAGATTCATCTACCAAGTCATGTTTATTTTTCATGAAACTAAATCTCAATGTTAAACTTTCTATTTTCCTTTGACATTGGATGCATGAAAGAATTTGGGCTGCTGTGTGCATAAAAACGAAGAAACATCTGAATTGATGCATTAAATTTAAATATAAAACAGTCAATATGTTTTATTTTTATTGCAATATTTGCTTTTAATTAGGAATGTGTTATATTTAAAAAATATCAATTATTAACCAAATTATACGTATATATGTCATGGGACACTTTGTTAAGTTAATCATATATAGAACGTCTCCAAAATATATTCAAATTAATATAGTTTTTAATAATGGAATAAGAAAGTATTACATGTTTTACATTTATATGATACACTATCTCAAGTGTTCAAAATGAATGCATTTTGGAATACTTTCTATGTAAGAACAGTGTTCAATGTAGTCATTAAAGAAACAATTATTTACCATAAAAATCATCCTTGTTTAATTAAAGTACTGTTTAAGAATATCAATTTTGACAATTCATGTCATGTAATATTAGAAGCAAGCCAGTTATTTGAAAAATAAATTCTTAATTTTTCACATGTGCCTTTCACCATGAAAAAAATCAAGTACTATATATGAATTTTCAGTGCTTGTCAGTCTTTAAATTGCACTGAAGGCAAACTGCCCTAATAAATGATAATTGTAATGACAACAATTCTAAATCTTTTTTACCACTCAGATCAAAGAAACCAACCCAGATATAATAGCATTCCAAGAAGTTCGTATGGATGCAGTAGGTGTACGAAGTCAACTGCTTGAACTTCAAGATATGTTAGCAGACTATCACTGGATGGTAGTACAACCTGCCAATGAAGTACAGAAGATGAAGCATACCTATTGGAAAGGATGGGAACGTGAAGGTATTAATTTTTCCTAGCTTACCTAGTTGCAATTTAGTTACCTGCAATCTAAATTTCTCTGTTTTCAATTTTAATCACACCTTTATACTATAGAACCCTAATAGTCAATCTTTTTATTAATGGAAAGGTGTCAAAAGAAATTGTGAAGTTATCTTTAAGAAAATTTTTAAAATGAGTAATACATGAATTTTGGGTAGAAAAAAAATTATGTTTAATTAGAATTTATTCATGATTCTGTTATTATTAATCACCTTGTGACCATCCACTAGTTTCAAAATACTGTTTTTGTAAAAATGTGAGTAGTTTCTACCTGTTCATATGTTTTAAGATGTAACCTATCAAGATAGTTTTGTAAACACCAGAATAAGTGGTAATCAGATGGAGCAAGATCTGGAAAATAAGAAGGATTTTGATTTTTTTTTTTTCCAGCCAAAGTTTAAAATCTTTTCAGATGTAATCTTTGCTGTATGGAGGTGTGTATCATTGTGATAGAACACCACACCTGATCAAACTGGGCATTTTTTCCTATTGTTTTAAAGCAGTGTTCCAACAATAATTACTGGCAATAGATGTTTGCTGTAATCATGACATTGACTGATAACAACTCAAAGTGTACCCTATCAACATAATCTCACACAAAAAGGATTTTGTGAGGCTAAAATTTGACCAATGATTATTTTAGATTAGTTTGAATTTTGGAGATAATTGTTGTTATATATTCATTTATTCAGACTAGTTTATTTTCTTTGTTATTACAATGTTTTTATTGTTGCATTTCTCTAACTTTCCTGAAAATATTTACAGGAAGCAGGCATTCCTATGAAATCATCATTGTCTACAGGTGACCAACATCTATCTGAAGTACTTTGAAGAAATTGCTTTAAGAATGACATTCAGAGTCTGTCTATATTTCTGAGATGAGGTATTATGTACATTATTTACATTATTCGGACTATTGTCCTCATCTTTGTCGCCATATTCAGCTGTTGTACGTTCCAGCCTTCTTCAGGTGGTTGGAATGTCGAGCTGAACCCTTTATTTTGCTCACTGGGGTAGACTGTTCTAGTTCCATGTGCTATGTTTGATGGATGTCAGTTATCAGTTATCTCTTGTTAATTTCCCTCTGAAATTTCTCCATTGCCTTAACCGGGTATTGAACTCACACTCTTTGGGGATCACACATATATCGACAGGATGAGGGCTTAGCAATGGGCTCGCCATTATCACCAGCAACAGTGAATATATACATGGAATACTTTAAGGAAATGGCATTAGAATTTATATCTCTAAAGCCAACTATATGATTAAGGTACGTAGATGACACCTTCATACTCTGGCCACACCAGGAAGATGTTCAGGTTCTACTGGACCATGTGAACTCAATAAGACCTGCGATACAGTTCACAATGGAGAAAGAGAGTAACAACACACTCCCATTCCTGGATGTTCTAATATCTCAAACAGAGCATGGATTCAAGACATCTGTATACCGGACAGTACCTCAATTTCAACTCCCACCATCCATACAGCATAAAGAAAGGGATCGTCCGTTGCTTGCAACACCAAGCAAAAGTCATAAGTGGCGACACAGAGACATTAGATAAAGAATTGGTCAGTATAAGTAGCACCCTACAACGTAACAACTACCCTGGGTACATGGCAGCAGCCCCAAAAAACTGGGATAGGCGGATACAAGAGGAGGAGGACAACAACACTCAGAAAACAGTCTGCCTGCCTTATGTGAAGGGGTTATCAGAGAAAATACAAAGGATCTGTGGTCCATATAACATCAGGACAACCTTCAAAAGATATCTCTCCCAAGTAAGACCCCCCATAGAGGAGAACATGACTAAAGACTGTGTGTATGCTATCCCATGCAGCTGCGGAAAGGAATATAAAGGAGAGACAGGCCGCCTCCTCAAGGTAAGGCTTCAAGAACACCAGAAAGCTGTAACACGAGGAGAAGTGGAAAAATCAGGCATGGCTGACCACATATGGAGAGAGAAGGGAGATCACCACCCTCTGTGGGATCAGGTTGAGATCATAGACAAGGGACACCATTGGAAAATTTGTAAATTTAAGGAATCAGCACATATGCTAGGCCACAAAAATCTCCTGAGCCAACCAAGCACAGAAATAAATACAATATGGGAACCAGTAATAAGGAGTGCCAGAGAAAAGTAATGATAACAACAAAGTTGCAATATGAGCTCTGGTAAAAACAATGCAACGATAACAGCAAAATTGCAATATGAGCACTAGTAAAAATGGTGGCTGAAGACATTAGGTTTATAATACCCAGAAATTCATACCCAGATATCCTCAAGGACACATGGCACAATGGATAAAGGACAGGACCCAAAGAGCGTGAGTTCAATATCCGGTTAAGGTAGTGGAGAACTTTCAGAGAGAAATTAACAGGACATCCATCAAACATGGTACGTGGAACTAGAACAGTCTACTCCAGCAAAATAAAGGGTTCAGTTTGACATTTCAACGGCCAAAATGTTGTAATGAATATGGTGACAAAGATGAGGACAATAGTGTAAATAATGTAAAGAATGACATTGTTGATATGTGGATGACACCTTTATATTCTGGACTCACCAAGAAGTATTGTTGCTCTATGTGAACACCATAAGATCTTCTATGGAGAAAGAAAAATAAAACAAAGACCAAAGGATGCAACATCCAAACATTGTGAAAAGTTTTTTTGAAAAGAAGCTCTCCCAAAAAAAAATTACTGTACAATTATCTTAGATTGTCACAAATGAAGTGACACATTTTTAGTTTTTTCTTAGTTGTTGATCCAGTCATTTAATGAAGTAACCTCCTTAGTATATAAAAAATGTTGATTTATTCCTGACTCTTTTTCTTTCCAGATATTGTTACTCATAAGCCCAATGAAAATGATTACAATGAAACAATGTTTAGTAATCTTAGTGTATGAATATAAACTGGGTCATTCTGCCTCTGAAGCATTTTGTAATATCAAAGTAGCCTTTGTTAATGGTATTGTTGAAATCAGAACTGTACAGAGATAGTTTCAAAAGTTTATTTTGGGATATTATAGTATTGAAAATAAACCAAGGAGAAAAGCACAATTGGTTATCAGACATGATCAATGGAATGCTTTGGTTGATCAAAATCCGAGAACTATAGTTCAAAAACTTGCATCAGAACTTGAAACATCTTGCCCAACAGTTTCTTGGCACTTGAAAGCAATTGGAAAAGTAAAGAAACTGGATAGGTTTGTTCTGCATGAACTGAATGAGACTCAAAAAAAATGTCACTTTGAGGTGTGCTCTTTATTGAAAAATTGAGTATATGCATGAAAAATTGCAAAAGAAACATCCTAGATTTGTGAATAAGGATGGCGCAACTTTGCTGCATGACAAAGTATGGCTGCACACTTCTCAATCAACTATCCAAAAGCTAATTATGAAATTTTGCCTCATCCTCCATATTTGCCTGATATCTCTCCTACTGATTATCAATTATTTAAGCATTTTGAGCTTTTCATATGCAATAAAACATTCTCCAATAAGGAAGAGATAATTGAAGCATTTGAACTGTTTATCACATCAAAGGATGAGAATTTTTTTAAAGGTGGGATCAAGAATTTAGAGGTATGTTGAAGATCAGTCATTCATCAACATGGCGCCTATTTCAACTATTTAATATTTCAGAAGCATTTTATTCATAAAGTGTGTCATTTCATGTGTGACAACCAAAAATAAAATTGGTATTCATATTCTAAAGAACCTTACTAACAATGAAAAAGGAAAACCAGTTAATTTGAAACGACATTTTTTCATATAAGAGATGAGCTCATTTATTATATAAAAAAAAAGAATCATAAATACTAAAAATAAAATCTCATTTTCAAACTTTAGGTGCTTAGGTTATTGCCGCTGCCTCGGATTACATATGGATATGTTTGCCAGCACCAGTTACATCCAGATTTTTCCTGTTAGCAGCTGGACAGATTGGTATTTCTAGATACATGCCTCACTGCAACTGGTCAAGATCCAGGTCTTTGTAAGATGCCTCATGCCAATAAAGCAGGAGGAAAACCAGCAGTTGGCAAGACACAGTATCTTGTGAAGTCAGTCTCGTGGGCATATTGTTCCACAAGTTGGCGTGGTTTCCGGGGCAGTGTTATTTTTGTTACTACTGTCTCTTTTTCCTTTTGTCTATTACCCACTAATTGCTGGGAGAGCTAGGCGTTTGCTCCAGCCTCAACACACTCTTGCCATACATTACTACAGACTTGAATTCAATTTTTGAGCTAATCATTCAATCATAACAGTATTTCCAATTTCAGTTAATTCTCCTCTTTGCTGTGACTTGTATTTTTATAGTAAATGAAATAATTGTCAATAACTGTTAAATATCAAATCTGAGTAACATAATAGTGTCACTTTATTTTCATTTATTTATTATGTCTCTGTATAAAGTTTTATAGAGTTTCTCTTTTGTAGCTACAATTGTCTATCACTTCTCAAACACCACTAATACCAACTGACTCCCTGCTCATAACAAGTTAAATGATAATTTCAATCATCACATTTTCCACTGAAGAAAATCTATTTTTACATGTTTAGTTTTTGATCTAAAAAAGATTGTAAATATTTTAGAGATTTAACAAATGCATTTAGAATATAGTGGCAAGTAAAAAGAAAATCAATATGTACTTTGTTTATATGAGTTGTTTATTCTTGTTTTTACTTCAGGTATTGGCATGTTAAGCAAATTGGCCATTATTAAGTCAACTACAATCAGCATTCCCTACATGAGTGGGCCTGACACTAACCAAAGAATTGCTCTACATGCTATCATTGGAGAAGAAGAAGAAACTGCTGTCAATGTACTCACTGTCCATTTTTCTTATGATCGACAACAGCAATGTAATAATGCTGCTCGAATTATGAACTACATATCAGGTCAGCCATGTGTTTAATATTTGGATCATAAGGAGATGAAATGCATACCATTAATATAATACATAAGAAATAATGGATTAAATATGTTTGAGATTTTTAAGGGCTTAAAAACAAAATGATTTTAAATGCTAGCTGGAAATTTATGAATTTTTCCTTTTAATGTAAAGAAAACACACAAAGAATTTAAGCAAAATCATTATGATAAAACAATATCATTATAATGTAATTTAAACAAAAAAAAATTATTATTCAAATCTGCATGGTGGTTACACAAATATGTGGCTTTTCAGTACTATGAAACAGAGATTGAACTCACAACTGCAATATGTCTTAACCAACATTTTAATACACTAGGTCACATGTCTTTAATAATCTATGTATAGGTTTTAAGCCTAATGTCTGTATTCAAGGGATGTGATTGTCTAAGTCTCATAATTCAGGTGATGAAATTTTTTTAAAAGTATGCTTTCTTAATCAGAGACCCTCAAATGATAATCATCTTTTGCTAGGTTTACTGAGAACATTGCCAGTATCTAATGTCTAGTGATTCTTTTGGTCATCTTCTAGTGTTCTGTTCCACAAATTTGGTGACTACCCATTTCCTTGATTTCAATTCCTCTCCCTGGAAAGCAGCTCTTCAATGTCATTTCACCATTAACTTTAGGAGGATGAAATTAGTTACTACTTTGTATTCTTCATCACAACTATAGGATGGAATATGTGGAATTTTTGGTCAATTTTCTTCTGAAGTTGGCTTCCATACACAGTTCATAATAGAGAAATAAGCAGAACAAGTGGTGTTCCTGGATATATTTGTACAGAAGATGGATTCAAGACATCCGTATAACATAAGCCAACATTCAGTGGACCATATGTGAATTTCAATTCCTGACATTCATACAGTGTCAAGTAAGGAATCATCCACTGTCTACAAGCACTGGATCAAACTTATAAATGGTGACCCAAACAAATGCCCAGAGAAGATCATTAGCATTGGAAAGACCCTTAAAAAATGATTAATTACCCTTTTTCCTTGATTTCAATATTCTTTCACTCTTACCTTTAGGAGGGTGAGGCTAGTCACTCCTTTGTATTCTTTGTCAACTGTAGAGAAATTAGCAGAAGAATAAGTGGTGTTCCTGGATGTACTTGCACAAAGAATGGATTCAAGACATAACATGAGCCAACATTCACTGGACAATATTGGAATTTCAGTTCCTGCCAGCCCTCGTGTCAAGAAAGGAATTATCCACTGCCTCAAACTCATGAGTGGTGACCCAGACAAATACCAAGAGAAGATCGACATCAGAAAGACCCTGCAAACAACTATCTTGCAAGTATAACATCAGCTTTCACACAAAGAGATAGAAAAGTAAAGGACAACAATAAGAAATCTGCCATGGTCTGTCTACCATACACAAGCAGTACATCTGAAAACATGAAAAAGATTTGTGGTTCATACAGCATCAGGATACTTTTCAAAAGCAGTTCAAACCTTCTTTCCTAAACAAAGCCTCTCATCAGAAGAAAACATGACTAAGAATTGTGTGTATTCCATCCCATGCAGTTGTGGCAAGACAAAAAAGCAATTATTCAGCCCCTAAACATAAGGGTGAAAGAACATTGACAGCTATTTTTTCCTTCTCTTGTGTTGTTTGCGATTTGTGAGGTTTGGCTTTTTCTAATGAATGCCTCACTTTCCATCCCAATTTTATCAGCCTGATCTTTAGGCTTCCTCAAAGCAGCTAATTGTGGCTATAAACTTTTCAGCATATAATCATCACAAAACTTCAAACAAAATCATCTTGGTTTTGTTTTTAGAAAATTATTTTTGTATTCCCCATTTCTATAAATAGAATAATAATTAAAAGTTTTTTTTTTTTTTTTTTTTTTTATAAAGAATATAAATGTATGTGTAAAAATATACCAAATGTGTTAAATCCACAAGTCAAATTTATTACACATTATTTATGCTTTTTTGATAAAACTGGTAAAGAAGTTAGTTGAATTTTTATTGTATTGTAATTAGCAATTTATTTAAATTTTTTATTAATATTAGATACAAATATACTGATAATAGTGCAATTTTTTTTTCTACAAGTTTTTTTTAATATTGGTAAAACTATGTTCTTAAGTGAAAAATTTTCAATGAAGAAATGGAAATTAATAATTAAAATGAAAAGAAAATGATTTTCTTCTGCAGCAATTTTATATGTCGTTGAGAGGATTTGCTTAAAAACCTAACTCAGAGTTCAGGATAGGAGTGAACCTCTACATTGTTTTTTTGTCGATCAACATTTAGGGATGACAATTGAGATATACAACCTAAGTTTTTAATATATTTTACTTACCTTCTGGTATTCTATTGGTTTTAATGCAAGCAAAACACAAAATGTTGCGAAAATTATTATCATAAATATTTTTTTATTCTTAGCATTTTGGCATAACCTTTAATCATAAATTTTTTTTGGTTGTATTATTTGCACTTTGAAGTTTCATCTCTTTCAGAGAAGCATCTTGACAATGTAATACTGCTTGGAGATTTCAACACTTACTCAGATTTTGAATGGCCTCTTCGGATATTCACAGACAAAAGTCTTAAACCAGTGAATTTGTGCTATGATATGGTGATGCCTGAAGCAAAGCGCCCTAAAATCATTTTTTCAGATGTTTGGCAATCTAAGCCAAAACAAACAGCTTCAGGATTAACATTTAGCAACATGGTAAGTATTTAGTATATATTTTATTCATTTGCATTAATAAAACTAGTTAAATGGCTAAAAGAACTACAAAGGAAATTCTTACTCATTTAATTAATTTTGATTGTGATTAATTTTTAAGACTGTTTCTTGGCTGAATAAATAAACTTTAATAAATTAATCTCAACACAAAATTCAAATTGCATCACCTACTAAAATCAATTATATTTTGGGGGGAAAATTTAGCTGGTGTCTGTCAAGAAATAGACAAATTTTCTGTGACATGTATGAAATTCCAAATTTCATTGTCCAATAGCCATTATGATATACGAGGTGCGATGAATAAAATGTCGTCTAAATTATGCAAAAATAAAAATAACAGACATCTCATTTTAACATATATTTACCAAAATTACACAAACATATCTTGAAAAAAATTGCCATTGGCTTCAGCTACAGCCTCCAGACAACTTTGGAATCTCCTGCAACTCCTTGTTTAAGTTGGTGAATGCTGCCATAATCCTTGCCTTCAGTTCATTTTTGGTATTACAAGTTTTGTTGATCTCTTGCTCAAATGTGCCCACACATAAGGGTGTTGCAGTCTGGGGTGTTAGATGGTCAGATGTAAGAGATGATGTTGTCTCAGTAATTGTCTGACAACCATGACTGTTCTTCTGCTTGTGTGACATGGTGCTGATTCCTGTTTGCAGACATAGGGTCTTCCAGCAGCCACCCTTTTAACCTAGTGTAGTGCTATCTCTTCAATTTATAGAGTTTAAAGTAACACAAACTTTGTGAATTAAAAATTTTTTATTTTAAATTCAGTTTAAAATATCTCTAAAAATCAATTTTATTTTTTCAAAATGCCAAGGAATCAAAGTTAAAGTGAGAGGTTTCATGACATAAGGTTTTGAAGTTCTGCAGAGTTTGTAATTTGATGAACTCAATTGTTTGGCCTGAATTGGAATTTTGGCCCAAATCGATCTTTTGGCTGAAATTGGACTTATAACCTGAATCAGTGTTAAAGTGAGGTTTTGAAGTTCTATGGAGTGAATTAAGGATTTCAAAGTTATTTCTTCAAAATCCAATGACCAAAGCTCTAAGGCAAAGGGAGAGAAGAGCATCTGAAACATCAGAAGCACAAGCAGATGCTGCAAACCGTAAAAGATTAAGAGCATCTGAAACATCAGAAGAGGTAGAAGCCAGGAAAGAAACAAATGCTGCAAGAGAAGATCAAGAGCATCTCAAATATCAGAGGAGGTGCAAGCAAGGAGAGCAGCAGCTGGTCAAGAGCTGCAGAGGATGATGGTCAGACGTTAATCAAAGAGAGAAACAGATGCTGCCAACCAGAGAAGAGCAAGATCTTTGGAAACACCTGATAAAAGACATGCCAGACAGGTTAGTGATAATAACAATCATGCTAAAAGAAGTGCAGCTTCTTTTTTGAGCCTATCCAAGCTGGCTTTTCAAATCATCCAATGACATCTATTGGATTAATTCAGTGTAAGCATTGTAATGTTCTCAGATTTAAGGATGAACTAGATGGAATGTGCTGTAAAAAAAATTTTCAGCTGGTACATCTATCAGTTCATTCAGAGCCATTGTTATTACTTCTGGATGGGAACTCAGCTGAATTAAAACACTTCATCTAGCCCATCAGAAGCTACAATAAGTGTTTTGCAATGACCTCATTTGGAGCCAAAAAATGCTACCTTGCCAGGATGAAAAACAAAGCTGCAGGAGCTGGCTTAAAAGTTTGCACGGCTTGCAGCTTTTAAGCTAGTTATCAAATAAACTAGAGAATTGAAAACTAGAGAATTGAAAAATCAGTTTAAATTCAACTAATGGATTACAATAAAGTTTTCAGTATTCATTTACTGATTACAGTAATTATAAAAAGGTTACTTTGGAAAAAATATCAATGGAAAAAATATTCAGTTTTATTAAATTTTTTAAAGATTTTCAAAATATAATAAAAAAAAATGCATTTGTGTTTCATGGAAATGTCTGAAATGATTTTATATATTTTAATCTAGAAATGTAAGAATTATACCAAAATTCTCATCAGCTTTTCTTATGGAATTATAAAAATATTTGACTAAAGTAATTATCATTAAGGGTGGAGAAGGAACCTACTTGATTGATTTTCCAGAGTGAGCATAGATATTATGTAGGTTAAAAGAAGGTTTTTAATTATTGCTTTTTATTTTAAGCATATTAGTTTCTTAATTATCTGATGTTGATATGACTATAAACACGTGCAATACAACACATCCATCTCAGCTGACATGAGATGTGCATAAATTTAATTTTCGAGTTGAAAAATTGTCAATATACATTGATTTAATTGAAATTGTTCTTGTTGAGTGTTAAAGATGTTGTTGGAGACTATGTTTAATATGAGATATATTGTATGTTTTCTGTTATTCTTCACCACCATGCCATATGATGCTGTTTTTTGTTTGTTCCTGTTAAACCAGTGAATATGGATTTGACACAGTTTTGTCTTTTCTTTTAGTCAAACTGGTGATGCCAAACAGAGCATAAACACTCTGGAGAAATGCATCTTTGATAAAATAATTTTTACACTTTTGTTTCACTCATATATATGTAAAAATTTGGGGTTTTTTGTGTGTATATATATATATATATATATATATATATATATATATATATATATATATATATATATATATATATATACACACTATTTTTAAACTACATAAATTAGTTTATTTTATTCTCCAGTTGCAAAATTAAATATAAGATTTTTTATGCTGTGTGTTAAGCAACATTATTTTCATTTTTTTTAGTTTGAACACTTCTTATAAAGTATGAAAATATTCCAAACAAGGACAGCATAAAATAACTGGGTGATCTTGTTAATAATATCAGATGGCAAAATCATTTTCTTTTTTTAACATCAAAAAGATAACCAATTCTATAAAATTTTTTTTACATTATCCAAGACATTTATTGTTCATCTAATTGAAACATTTGAAGATTTTCAAATCTTTTCTTTAGCCCACTCCAGGATACGAAAGCCGTCCTGATCGGATCCTTGTCTCAAAGCATTTCCAGATTGTCTCCTCCAGTTTACTAGGAAATGGCATTATTTACAGAGAGAAATTCAAGTACAACATTTACTGGAATCGTCTCAGATTGGTGATTTCGAGTTCCTATAACTCCTTCCGTGGTATCTACGGCTACAGCTGCATTCAAGACTGTGGCCCTCGTGGTTCTTGCCGCTGTGGGGTTTGTGTGAATATTGGTAATGACAATAACTGCTTGCTCATTGACTGTGATGAATGTAATTCTTCAAAATTTGTAGCAGTCATCATTTTCGTGTTCATAGCTTCTATCCTAATTGTTTTGACTTCATTAGCAATTCTTCAGTTGTTGTTGACGACCATAAGGTCAACATCACGCACATTCTGCTGTTTATGTAATCCAAGGTTATATTATAGTTCAATTTTACATTCCAAGTTTAGAGTCTTGCAGCGTCTCTTCCCTTTCATTAAATCTCCAATGCCCTGCTTGCTGTTTTGTTTCTTCATCAACCTCATCTTTCTTACATTAGCTTCCTACATTTTTTCTTCTTCTCTCTATACAGTCTTTCAGGTGATGGCAGAGGAGTTCTATCCTTCCGATCATTTAATGTTGACATCTAAACTGGAATTGAAGTCTCACTAAAATGGGGGGGTTCTTCTTTTTTTAAAATTAAGGGCAGGAATGGTGAAGATAATATCTGTGATTAAAGAAAAAAAATTGACTTAAATTGACAAAGAAACAAATAACTTGTCATTCTAACTAGTGAATAAGAATTTATAACAACTGAAATTGAAGATTTCTTTTTGACTGATACAAAAAAAATAAAACTATGACTGGTTATGTCACAGTGGTTCAAGGAAGTTCAAGCCTCTGATCCCTTCCAGCTAACTTTGCAGAGGTAATAAAATCAAAACTGTTAAAGCTTGCATAATACATTTTTGTGCATGTTTGTGTATGGGGGAAGGTGTTTAAACTTTGTTTTATATTTGCTTTCTGTGATGTAAAGTCTTGGAAATTGATAATGTCCTTTTCATAATGTGTGTACATATATGTAATAATAAAGAAAATCATCAATGTCCAACATTTTCTTACCCGATTTCCTTTTGATCAAATGAAAAGGAAAAATAAGTTTATGATTATGAAACAGGTTATGTGCTTGATTTAAATCCATTTTCTTTGCCATCTGCAGAGGACAAGTGGAAATGGAAGCTTGGTCAAACTGCTGCTTTGTTTATAAATGCAGGAAGTTAAAATAAGATATGATTATAGATATTTTACATTTTAATGATGCATATTAAATGTCAGTGGTTTCATAAAACTATGTATTTAGGCCATCTTCAGTTGACAAATTTAAAGGATATTCAGGTACTAATCTGTTGTGTTCCTTTGGATAAGGCATTAATCCATCTCTTAAGCTCTGGGTTAAACAGAAGAATAGACTAGTCTTGGATGGCAACCAGTCTAAGAGAAGGAAAATTCTGAATTCCAAGAACAAGGAGTAAATTTATTACATTGAGTAATGGTCTGTTTTTGATTTTTTTATGACTTAACCTTTTGCAAAGTCAGAAAATATTTTTAGATAAGAATTTTTGGGGATATGGAAATGATTTATTGATACAAATCCCATTAATCAACCCATAGCTGGGGCAAGAAGATGACTACTCACACATCCAAGCTTACAGCACCTAGCAGTCACCCATCCAGGTACTGATCAAGCTTAACTTTGGCGATCATATGAGAACTGGTTTTTCAACATATGGTTGTAAGCCCAGTTAATGGTTTGCATAACCAAAACCAGTTCCCTAAGGGATACTTATAACTAATCACTCTTATAAGCTTTTTTTGGGGGGGGGGGGGAATAGTACAGGAGGTTACCAACTTAATTGTTTGCAAAGTAATTATAGTCATTTTTATTGGAATTGTAGTTTGTGAATAAAAAAAAGACATCTCATATTTAAATATGTTCAGAATACACAAAAGTACAAGCAAAAACTTTCAAAACCCCTACTACACCACTCAAATGTTAATTAAAAAAAAAAAAAAAACAAAAAAAAAACACTTAAGAGGATGCTATAAACATGTGCCAATTATTGTCTAACTTAACTTAGTAAATGCTAGTATCATGATTGATTCATGGGTACACACTATGAAAAAAAAAAAAAAAAGTTGCACTAATGGAAAGTGTATAAAAAAAAAAAAAAAAAAAAAAAAAAAACCCAAGAAGGATACCCATTGATGAGTGGAGGGTGTAATTCCCGGAGGGTCAGTTTACAAAACTCTGGAGGTTGAAGGTAACATCAATTAGCTACAAACCTTTTATTTTTTTATTATTTTATATATGATATAAGCACTTCAGCAAGGCTTTGCAGATATATGCTGAATGAAAGATGTGTACAGCCTTCAAGTCTATTGGCCCTTATGCACTCTTATGTGGCTCTTCAAACCGGCAATAAATTTCCTGCAAGTCACCATGGAGATTTTATACAAGTTATGCTGAGAGTGAGAGTACAATATGGCATGATCAGTATCAATAGGTTAGTACACTCGAACTCAATTACAATGACCTAAAGAGTTTTGTCTACCCAATTTCACTCAAAGTTTAGGTCAGCACATGGTATGTTTTTCAGGAGCTCTGCAACTTGATAACAATATCCTGGTGAGATGATCCCAACATGCAATATCAATGGTGATTCTCATTCAGTGTTACTTCAGCAGAGTAATTTTTTTTCAACAAAATTTACTATATATACAATTGAATAAATCTGTGCAGACATAGCTCAATAGAAGGCTATTGTATGACAACCAATATAATTATTTCCCTTTTTATCTGTAGAATTTTTCAAAAAGTGATTATCTTACTGCTTATCTGACCAATTTTTTTTTTTTTTTTTAACATGTTCTCTAATAAACAGAAGACATTTTAAGCAATTGATTGTCAAGGGCTGATTTCAATATTTTGAACATATGTTGGCTATCATATGAGACTTACAAAACAAAAATACAGTGATCTGTAAAATTATTTAGTGAGGTGGTGTATATGTGAGGGGGTCTATTAAAAAATAGATTTCTTCCTGACTTAAATTTTCAATTAACATCTATCAAACTCATAAAAGGTAAAATTAGTAATGGCTTTTTGGAGAACACGCACTACATAAACACATTAAAATGTGAAAATGCATTATTTCTATTTATTCTTTTTGGTTGTAACTTAGCATATAGGATAAAATTAGAAGATGACTAAGTGTTACCAATTAGGATTTTATAAGTGAGTGAATCTATACCTGATGCCTGCTGGAGTTAACGTGAACAGCCTTGATAGATCATAAGTGTAACAAAGTTACTAGTGTGGATTTTACTAGTAACGGAATTTACACTTGGTTGCCAAATGGGACTAGAATTCCTGTTGTAATTTAAATAAGGTAAATTAAAAATAGTTGGAGGAGGAATGTAATACAATTACTGTCATAGATTTTACAAGTGAGTGAATCTACCCCTGGTGCAGCTGAATTAGAAATTAAATTGAGAAGTTGATGTGGAAAGCCATAACTAAAACAGATCTTTTAGATTTTACAAGCACACTAGAAGTACTTTCTAGTAGGCTTTTGGAAAAATTAAAAGCATTTAATTACAATAAATAGGATTAGTACCTGGAATCAAGATTGGGATTTAACAGTTTTAACTAGTAGGAGCGAGTGAAACAAGGAGCACCAGTGATAGAATGACATTCGAGATAAACCAGCTGGCCATAACTAAGTTGATCTTGGCCAAAATTCAGAAATTTATTTTTTCATACTATTTTACCGTGATTGTCTATTGGGGTCAAGACTGAAGAATGAAGTCAGCAAAACCCTTCTGAGTCCATTAATAAGCCCATATGCAACTCAACTTGTAACTTGACACTTGGAAGAAATGTACTTATATATGTTGGGGGAATCAAGACGGGGACAATAGTTATCCTAGAAGTAACAAGTAGTCAGACGGGAACACAAACAAAATAGTCAATATCACCACACATCCCATCTCCCCTTGCAAATGAAAGAGTTGGAGCCCAACTTTGTAGGCCTGAAATGAAAATTCTCTATCTGAATTATTGAACCCACTACAATTTACCAATCCAGAGAATTGCTGCTGTTGCGATGTTATGAAAAAGACTAACTCACAATACATATATGGTTAGGTAGACCACAATACTGAATTGGAAAAGGTTAATCTGATAACTGTAATCCTAAACAAATAAATGTATTATTTCTGCAAGCAAGAATCAGTTGTCGGTTTTTATTCCCCCCCCTCCCTTAAAACTTTTCTTATAAACTTGCTTCACTTATTTCATGCAGCTTTTTGTTCTAAACTGACAAATACCCATTTCTTGATGGAAATACAAATCAGTGAAGATAGCAGTCTTTTTGTCATCATGAATTTTAAGAATGAATTCTTTAAAGTTTTTTTTCATTTGGAACTGAAGTTGCAGGGATGGTTAGGAAAAGTTGTGAGTAACTATTCGCAACTGAAGGAAGGGGATTATGTTGAAAAATAAATATTTATTACGTAAAATGAATATTTTTCATCATTAGACTTATTGATGTACCTACATATTCACAACCAAATTAAGTGCATTGACAAAGAAGAATATGTTGACAAATGACGTGTAAAATAAATGCTTCTTTCGTCTTGGTTGAGGACTAATCGATGTACTTACCTGCATATTTTTATTGCTTCGAACATTATTTTTAGTGGATACATGCATTTGAGTAGATGCTCTGTTTTTGTAAATGCTTTTTATTTTGTCTAATGGTCTGTGTACCCGAGAAAACTTAATAAAGAAAATGTAGCCTCCAGCAGAATTCGAACCTGTGTCACTATTTTTGGTAGGAGCCACTATCTGATCCGGCATATGGGGAAAAGGAAAGACTAAAAAGTGCAAATCAAAACACTTTATATTATTTAAAGGGAATTTCTTGTTCTGTCTGAAATATTAACTGGTACAACATTTCTGGACCATCCCTATTTGCAAATGAAAGCTTAACATCGGATAGAATTTGATCATTTTTAAAAGACAATAGCTGTCTTACATCAGTGAACAGACGTTTGTTGATTTAGATTGAAAAAGAATTACAAGAAGAATTTGCTATAAAACCAATGCAAATTTATTAAATGAAGCAAACCTGGCCAATAACTTTCCATCACCCAGTGTGAATGTATATATAGCACCAGTCCTGCCTGAGTTATTTACCCCCCCCCCTCCCAACAATCATGAAATATCTTCAATCAATTCCAATGATTGACTGAATTTTGATTTTGGACATCCCAAGAAATAGCTACCTAGCTATCTCAATATGCTTCTTGGCATAAAAAAAAAAAATTCCTGTTTTTATATATATATATATTTTATATATATATATATATATATATATATATGGTAGAGTAATGGATAGTGGCGCAGAGTAGAGTTTGAATTCCAGTAGAAGCCATTATATTCACTTATGTGCTAATACCCCTGAGAAAAGGTATGAATTATTTATTTTTTTTATAATAAAATGGCGAGGACTTTTTTTTTTTTTGGTTACGTTGTATAAAAAGGTACTGGGGAGGGAAAATGTTTGTGATAATGTTCAGTATTGCTAAAATCACTGACAATACAACAGTTGTAGTTAGGCCAATAGATCAATTCAGTCATCATTCCATTTTCCATATATGTTCAATGAGGAAACAGATTTGGTAATCATGCTGGCCAAAGAATTTATACAACATCTTGTGTAGTATGTTAATTAGCACATTACCAACGTAGGCAGAGCACATTACCATCCAATTGCAGGATTAGCAAAACTGGTTTAACAACATTCTGGTTGTATCTGGTACTGTTTAACATTACATCTACAAAGAACAAGAGCAAGCAAGAGAGATGACTTCTAACACTTGATGGCATGAGTGATGGACTCCCCAGTTTGACATTACACACACCCATCATTTGTATTAAAGCAGAACATTCTCTCATCAGAGAACACAATCAGCATTCAATCCCCACTGGAAACATGGTCAATGGTATTGTGATGGAAGTGGACATTTGGCTAGAGACTTGCATGTAAATGATTTTCAACAGTATGTTGGCTCCTCTGGGGTCATATTTGAGGTGTTGTAGATGGCTATCCCAAACCTTGTCTGCTGTTAGAAGATGCACAGCTATTTTATGAAATAACTATCCAGACTCTCCAAGTCACAAACTCCAATCCCTTTCAAATAGCTCAAAAGAGGTTATGTGCATGCCTGTAGCATGATACCTGTTTGCACTGGATATTCACCCCACTGAACCTTGTTACAGCACTATCAGCTCCAACACAGATGGTGCATTGGTATGAACTGGTTTTCACTTATCTTTATATAAAAATATAAAGATGAGTGAAAACTTTAAAAATGTTAACAGGATATCTATTACCCCACAGCATGAACATACTCTACCCATGTCAAAATTGGCATTGTCTTTCAGGGTGCTGGCATTTTATTTTCATATTTACAGAATATTGTCGGTTTAAGGAAAAAGAAAAAATGCTATTTAGTCAGTTGTATTGTGTATGTTTCATAAAGTAAAACCATCATGGCTCAATAGAGGAAAAGACAATCAAGAAATTAAAAAAAAAATTGCTTCAACAGGGAGAATTACATCTAGCCAAGAATTGTTTCAATAAGATTGATATGAACAGGGAGTAATTATTAGAGCATTAGATTACAAATATTACCACTTCTCTAATTCAAGTGACTGTCCATTTACCAACTAAAATGTTTAGAACACAATATAAGATTAATGACAGATTTAACAGATATATGTTGCTATTAAGTTACAGAAAGAGTAAGATGATCTCAGTCATGTAATAAGAATGTAAAGAGAACCTATGACAGTTAAATTCTTGTTCTTTCCAAACCAGAAAAAGAGGGGGGTATTTTCACAGCCTTAAAAAACTCAAATAAAACTAAGTTTGTCTATTCTATCATAGCCAAAAACAAGTATGGTACAAGATGTGTGTGCATGAGAGATACACATTTTTCTAAATTCAATATGGTCATTAACTTTGAGAAATGAACATTTAAACTTAAAACCTATGTGGTAAATTTAGGTTGCCAGTTCCCAAAAAAAAAAAAAAAAAAAAAAAAAAAAAAAAAAAAATATATATATATATATATATATATATATATATATATATATATATATATACACACACACACACACAGAGAAGTTCAATGAGCTTACATTTACCATTTCAAGTTTTATTTTTTTTATAGATATGCAAGAGACCATGTTCATGATTAAAATTTTACATGTGCAGGAGTTCACCCAGTTCGAAGCTTCCAGCCTTAAAAAATTAAAAAAATAAAAAAAAAATAAAAAGTGGTGTGGGGCATACATACACATGTAAATTGATTTAGACCAATAGTGTTTAAAATTTAAAATTTTTACCACAGATCCATGGAAGCAATGAACTCAAAGATACAAGCACAATCTACTTTAACCCACCTCATGTTCGCTTATAGAACAAGAGATAAGCATTTTCTGTTAATTGCCGGGTTGTGAGTTCATACTTCATGTCTACTTCAGTCACATGATCATCATCAAATTTATACCACTTGCTGTTTGTGTGGAGACAATAAGAAATATAATGACCACTGCTGGTACCATGGTTGCTGAGGTGGACACAGACTGCATAGAGATCATATGTGTAAGATGGTTCTTGTTGGTTATCGTCAGTGTTGGTAACCAGGTCAAAAACAATATTCTTTAGGTTCAAATCAGAAAGAGTGACACTGACTGGTGTGGTGATTTTTTTTGTCTCTTTTGTTTGTGAATCAAAAGTGAAACGTAAGAGTTGAATGATAAGGCATTCCGGCAATTGGTGAAGAAGACAGCGTCTTTCAAGGTCCTGCTTCTCACTTGCCAGACCAAAATTACGGGGTGTTGAAGTCCGTTGTAGACCCACAGTCTGGTAAGTGTCTTTAATGTCTCCAAGAATAGGAGACATGAGTGATCCCAGTGAAAATGCTGATGTCTGAAGATTCATGCGAGCTGTAATATGTGGTGACATAATGGGTGAGTAAGAAGCGGGTGTTTTAGCTGTGGTTGATGCAAGATACTCATTTCTGTTTTTAGCACACAAGGAGCAGATTTGTTCAGAAAGGTGTTCTACACTGCAAAGTTCTGTGAAGCAGTCTTCAAGGTAAACATTGGCAGTAGGATGAGAATCACTAGTAGGTTCTCCAATGGGTACAGGAAGAACAGCAAAGGTTTGTGTCTGGACAGATATGTGTCCTTTCCGACTACAATTATAAGCTTCCACAAGCTGACCAGTATACAGATCATCAATCACTGATGCATTCTCTCTCTTGTAGCTTAACCAATCAAGGTCAGATAAACGCTGGGCAATTTTGGCATAACTTTCCGTGTCCAAACCTGAAGCCTTATCAATCTACATATTAAAAAAAAAAAAAAAAAAAAAAAATTAAAATAAAGCAGTGAGGGGGGAAAAAAACAAAAAACAAAACAAACCTAAAATGCTTTTAAATGGTTAGGGGTTGATGCAAGCAGTAGAGAAAAAAAAAATTGAATTATTTACCAATTTCATTTGTATGAGAATGATTTTTTTTTTTTTTTTAAATTAAGACATTTTTCCCTGATAAGTGCCTACAAAAATGTCAACAGTTCTAAACCACAATTTTATAATGAAAATTACCAATAAGAGAAATAATCTTAATTCTCGGTTTTACTTTAAGTAGCTTATTTCTCAATATACCCAAGTCGTGAAACAATACAGATTGCAACATGAGGAATGTAGGGAATGTTGTAAAAATAGCAAACCTGTTCTTGGCAGGACATTCTTAAATGTTTTATTTGAGAAGAATTAATTTCACCATAAAGAGCTTTCAAACAGGCCAACTTTGAGTTTATCTCCGTCCGTTTGCAATAATCTGCAAGAAAGCAGTCATAGATAAATATAACATTCTAACATGTAAGCTTCATATATTGACCCCACAAGAAAAAAAAAAAAAAAAAAAAAAAAAAAGAAAAAGAAAAAGCAAAGTGAATATTACTTATGAGAGTTGATAAAACTAAATGTCTTTATAACAATTAATTCAACTTTTCAAAATCAGAAAAATTACAGAACAAAATCAAATTTGAAGAGAAATTTTAAATTTTTGAGTTGCCACAGGTCTGTGTAAGATCATTAAAAACGATTTTGTGCAATTAGCTGTTATTTTACAAATTGAATTTTAGTTTAATATTTTTTTTAATCTAAAAAATACCCAAAGTAATTAATAAAGTTGATAGCTTCAAATTAAAAGGTTTCTATATTATATACGAAATGTCACATGAAATGATCCACTCAGAAAAAAAAAAAAAAAAATCAATCTTTGAGTGCAAAGTTGGAACAAAATAAATGGCAGTTTTGAACTTCAAACTTAAAATATTAGAATCTATACATTTGTCAGCATTTATTCAATCATGATAAAAACTGGGGGCCAAACTATTGAAAAATGTTTTCAATATCTGTGTATTGGTGGCATACATTGGAAAGTGCATATGTGCATTTAAGGCCTGGAAAAGGTGGTTGGGTGAAAATAATGAAGCATAACCTTAATGCCTAATTGCATTTGGTTTTGTTTAGGGGTCTGTGAAGTAGGTTTTTGGGTTATCCTGCGTCAGGACAAGCCCTTTCTAGTCATCATAGCTGTCCAAAATATTAGCAACATTTTGAGCATCAATGCCAAATCACAATAGAACTTTGCCATAATGGTTTCATCAGGTTGTAAAGGAATTACTCAATTACAGCACCAAACATTCAGAATGATCTTTGAGTGAGAGTCGCAAAAACTGTTTCTGATTATCATACTGTTATATAGGAATAAAGTTTCACGGCTGATACTTTAGTTTGAACATAGATCACCTATGAGCAAACACAGGCGATCCCATTATCGAATCAAGTAGATTATGTGACATTATATATATATATATATATATATATATATATATATATATATATATATATATATATATATATATATATATGAATTATCGTAATGACTAACAATTGCTATACTCTAGTCTATCCTCTATACTATTCGGATTGCTATTTCTACTATTTGTTATACTATTTCTCTATTTGGATCACTATACAGATTAGTGTTCAGACGAGTATTATCAAGCAAGTACTATTAGTGCGAGACTTATTCAAAGCCATCTGACACCAGTATTGTTCAACAGCATTATAGTTGTAATCTGTGATTACTAAGTCTCTACTACAATGAGCATTACAAAAGTGATGAGTATTCACAGACATCACAAAAATAGCGACAAGGACTCCTTGAACTTACACAAGGATTCATTCAGCAATATGGAAGAACTAAAAGCTATCATGGTTCAAATGTTAGCACTACAGAAGCAACAGCAAGAACAACAGTTGCAGCAACAAAAATTACAAGAACAACACTTTCAGCAACAAAAACAACTAAGCAGCAATTACAATTGCAACTACAACAGAAGATTTTTTTTGAGTTGTTTACCAAAACCATGGAAGGTAAAACTTCAGATTCATTCAATTCAAATACTGTTGCTAATTCAATCAGTGAATTTGTGTACAATTCAGACGAAGGGATAACTTTTCCAGCTTATTATAGAAGATATGAAGGGATCTTTAAAAGGGATTGTTCACATTAGAATGAGGAAAAGAAAGTTTGGTTATTATTAAGGATATTGACCCCCTGTGGAACATGAAAAATATGTGAATTATATCTTGTCGAAAAAAAACCAAAGAGAGAAATTGATGAAAACTGTTCTCATTCTATGAAAAAATCTTTGATGAATTTTGCGCATTATTTAATACATGGCAATATCTTACCTTAGTAAAGTCCAACGATGAAGATTTTGTCACTTATGCAGGAATCGTGAATCAAGAATGTGCGAAGTTAAATGAATTATTTATTTAAATACCTGATATTTGTACAGGGTTTAACTTCTAATAATGACAGGGATAAGAGCCAGGATACTTGCTAAATTAGAAATGGATTCCAAATTAACTCCCCAGAAAATAGTGGAAGAATATCAATGTATTTTGAATTTGAAACTATACTGCAAGGATTGATGAAAAAGACAATTCACAAGTACATAGTGTCTGACCATCTAAGAAAAAACTACAAACGTTTTTCAACTAACGGAAAAGGAAAAAAAGATAATCCCCCTCATACTTGTCATGGTCGTGGAGGTAATCTTTTAAAAGTGATTCATGTATTGGAGCAGTGATGCTACACAAATATGAGAAGGAAGCATTGGCAATCATATTTGCCATGAAAAAGTTTCACAAATTCATACATGGTAGAGAATTCATACTACAGACAGACCATCATTCATTATTGTCCATATATGAATCAAAACAGGGTGTTCCCATACATACAGCAAATAGACTGCAGTGTTGGGGAATTATCCTATTGAACTATAATTATAAAATGGAATTTCTACTATCCAAAAAATGAAGTCATGCAGACGGATTGTCTAGACTAATACCAAGATTCTGTGAACTACTTGAAGACAGTAATTGCAGTGAAAAGGGCTGAAAATGAAATTAATAATGTATTATACAATAATACTGTAAGAGAACTGCCCATAACATTGGCAGAAATAAGAATTAAGTCAGACAAAGACGACCTTATAATGAAAATGAAGAAGCAGTTAAGATTCAAAGGAAAAATATTACTGGAAATAATGAGTTTTCATTATGTAATAATGTACTTATGTATGCAGAAAGAATTGTGATACCAGCATCATTGCAAAAATGTAAGCTAAAAGAATTTCACATAGGACATCCAGGAATTTTTAGAATGAAATCCTTGATGAAGTATCATACATACTGGCCAAAAATGGATAATGATATCAAAAATTTAATGAAATCATGCAGAGGTTGTGCTCTGGTAGTGAAGTCATTGCCTATCAAAGTTTAACAACCTTAGCCGAAAACCGATATGCCATGGTCCAAAGCAGGACTGTTAAACGGAGCATACTATCTAGTGATAGTTACACTAAATAGAAATAGAAATAAATAGAAATATTAAAATGTAGAAGACTGACTAGTGCAGTACAATAAATTTCCTACACAACATTTTTGCAAGGTTTGGTGTTCTTGACTATCATTTCAGATAACAGGACTCAATTCACGTCTAGTGAATTTAAGTTTAAGTTTTTTTTTGCAAATTATTAGCAATAGAACATATTACAACTCCCCCCTTATCACCCAAGATCAAATGGACAAGCAGAATGGTTTGTTGTTATGTTTAAAGAGGGCACTAAAGAGGAGTCAGATGAAGAAATGCTACAATTTGAGTATTTACAGAACAACACTAAATCCAAACACCATGTCTGGGATGTCACCTGCAAAGTTGAGGTTCACCAGGAAGGTTAAATCCATATTTAACAAATTACTGCCAGAACAAAAGACGAGAACATCAAGGAATCAAAATAATATAAATATTTTAAACCTGGTGATAAAGTGTTTTTTAAATTCTGGGAAGATCGCATTATTTATTGAATTAAGTAGATCACGTGAGCATATATATATATATATATATATATATATATATATATATGTGTGTGTGTATGGGAATTATCGTAACAACAATTGCTATATTATAGTCTATCATCTATGCTATTTTGATCACTATTTCTACTATCCTTTATTACTATACGGACTGCTATTCTCAAGTCTATTCACTATACTATTCCTCTATTTGCATCACTTATTTGGATTACTGCTTGAGCAAGTATTATCGAGCAAGTACTATTAGTGCAAGACTTATTCAAAGGCATCTGACACCAGTATTGTTCAACAGTGTTACTTTAGTTGTAATCTGCGATTACAAAGTCTCTACTACAATGAGCATTACGAAAGTGACAAGTATTCATTAACATCACAAAAGTGACGAGTATTCGTTGAAATAAAAAAAATAAAATAAAAAAACAAACATACAACAGTAAACAAATGATCAAGAAGTGGTGTTATCTTGAACCAAACAAATTGCAACAAATTTCAAATCATGCAAACTGCTGTCCATTATTTTCATCACTTTTCCAATTTTTGACAAATGTCTCAACTGTTCTATAGGTGACAATTGGCTTTGTTTTCAATGCTCAAGTGTGTTTCTGAATGGGTCTCAGTCGCTGCCCCAAATTCTTCATTGAGAAGTGAAAATTTGTGACCAGGAGACCCAGATCAACAAAAACAAACTTTGAGAACCATTGATGTCTGGTCTATCTATTCTGAAACTTAAGCTAGCACACTAAAGCACTTTATGTTGCAGGGGGCTTCACCAGCACAATGAATCAGAGTCTAATGATAAAGATTTCACTTATATACAATATTGGAGCAAAGATGAATAAAATAAATTCAAGCATTCAAAAGAGAATGAAGAGCTTTAAAATGATATAAAGGTGTAGGAACAAACAGAATGAATGATGCAGAAAAGAAAAACAAAACACTCCCATTTATACTAAAGCAGTGAGAAAAATAAAAAAAAATAAAATAAAAGCCCATTTATTCTGTTCCAAACTAATTGTACATACTTGAAACTATTTATATTGATAAGAAAAAAAAAAAAAAAAAAAAAAAAAATCTATAAATTCTTTAACTCATATTTTTTAAATCATTTTTTCTATTAAATACTTTATTTTTACATATTTTAAAATAAAAATTACCAAAAAATTTTTTCAGTTTATCCAAGCATTTCATAAAGACATTAAAACTAAATTAATTAAAAAAAGAAAAAGAAAAGTAAACATATTGCTTTGTTTAACAAAACATTTTTATAGACTTTTCATAAAAATTTAATCTTATTCTTGTTTGATTCATTAACATAAACAAAATATTAAATGAATGAATCAACAAGAAAAAATTACATAGTCATAAAACTATAAAGCTAATAATTTAGCTGGTATCAAAGACCTCAAAGTATCTTTCTACCAACTTAAAAAGGTTATCTGTTACTCTGATGTGGAGACAAAGATAAAGATTTCTTAGTACAATTCTTATATTATGAAAAACAAGTTTAATACATTTTACTCATTCACTGTCTTGCAATCCAACTAATAACACATTTAAATATTTTTAATTTATGAAATTTTTCATAAATGTACTTTATAGAATGAAAGTTTCCATAAAAATAGAGTAAAACGATGCTCTTTTCATTATAATAAGGGCTCCCAGTTTGGCATATTTTAACATTTATTTTCAAGCCAACTTTACACTGGTCACTAATTTGTATTTATAGTTCTAACATTACCCACTTTAAAGAGAGGAGGAAAAAAAAAAAATAAAAAAATAATGACTCAATTTGATTGAGCTATTTTTCAAACTTAAAATGATAGATGCTATATTTTTGTACTAAAATAGTCAACATAATGTAATAAATAAAAGCATGAAATTTTTAAAAGATCAAGTCTGGTTTGCAATCAAACTTTAAAGTACATTTTAAATTACTGCAATAATTTTTTTTTTTGTGTTATGTAGCTATTTAGAGATACACTATAATTATTTAGATTATACCTGGACAAATTCAATTGGTGAAAAAGAATTCATTAAAAGTATATTTGCACAGGCATTAAAATTACAATTAATACTGCAAGGTCATATTTACAAACTATTCAATCACATCTTCCACATAAATGAGAATGCAGAGTAGGCACAGCTTACTGCAAAGAGTCAAATATCATTTGTCCCTCAAATGAAAACAAGCTTTTCTTAAGAAAATAAAATAAAGAACCCCAACCAAAATATAATATAGATTGGGAGTTGTTCAACTTATAAAAAAAATACAAATAAACTTATCAAAACTAAGTGTCAAAAAAATACAATAAATTAGAAAAAAAAAAAAAAAAATGTTTAAATTTAATACAAGCTTCAATAGGAATAAATAAAGCTGAGCCTAATTGGAGGCGATGGGGGAGAAGTGACATATGATGTGCCCTCTAATCTTAAGTCTGAATGATAGGCACATTAACAAAGTATTTTATACAAAAATATTTGAAATTATCATTGTCAAATATTTTCATCAATAAATCAAGATGGTTTTCAATGCAAGCACCAACATTAATAGACAGTTCAAATAAAGCAGCAATCGCATTTAGATATTTTAAAAATTACAATATTTATATTTACCTTAAGGTATCAAATTTTTCATCTTAATTTCCATGTTCAAATATTACATTTGATAGAGGCCATTTTAAAGAGAAATTTTATAGTAACAGCAATTATGCATTTGAATGTTTTAATGAGGAAATTTGAAATATTCATTTATAAAATGTTTGATAGCCAAGAATTGCATGACAGCTTACGGAGAAGTTATTTTAAAAATTTTGTTCACATCAAAACTTTTAGAAATTTTGTTACCTTAAAAATTCTACAAGTTAAGCTTTATGAAAGGTTACATTCAAACTTTTAAGCACAATTTAAAATTTAAGTGCCAGGCCATTAATATTTTCAGACAATTTACAAAAAAAAAAAAAAAAAAAAATTTTTTTCTTGTTGCTGCCACAAAAGAGCAAGTCCATCCACAGCTTGTGTGAAAGACAAGCCAAGCTGGTGGGAAAACTTTCTAATAATCTAGAATGGATGGCCGAAATATTCAAACTGTGTCCTCACCTTCAACAGAAATTTTGTTCAAGATAGTGTGGCTTGTGGTCAGTAGCCACATGAGAAATTCTGCTGCATCCTGTTGGGAATGTTCGTTGAGCAAACTACATTTCAAGAGTTGGGAAGCTGATTTCAGCCGCTTTGTGTCAAGCACATATGTTCCCGACTGCGGCTGGGCACTACAGAGCGAGAGAATAGAAATAAACTCACAGAGGAACTGCCTCTCTTCTCGACTGCAGCCAGCCATCTGGTCAACATCAACAGCTGATAGACTACTCACCAAGAATGGCGTTCTGGCCAGGCACTGTAGTATGCAGTTCATAAAACACAGGTTCTGGCCATTGTTCTCCAGGCCTGGAGGGCTTTTCGATGACAACCCAAATACTGATAATAGCCTCTCTCTAAAAGGGGAGTCTTTCTTGACATATGGGCGACTTTGAGAAAGTGTGAGATTAGGAGAAGCAAGAGGACTTCTGACTGCATTTGGCCTGAGAGGTCTACGTCTGAGCACATTGTGAGCCCAGTGGACCCTAACAGGTGATGAAAGAGTGTTGCCTGGGCAAACAGTTACATTCTCTGGATAAAAGCCAGCAGAGTTGCTACTGTGGTGGCTAGAAGGAATAAGCCTAGGTTTATGAGGGGACATGATATTATTGTTAGCAGGAAAAAAAGATGGGAGAAAAGCAGCCTGCTGACTGCAAAGGTCATTGGCAAAGTTTTGATGTCCATATTGTTGGGAGGCCACTGGAGTAGTGTTGGAGAGCAGATGATCGTAGGTGCTTACTGGAGATGGGTGCTGTGGCAGCAAGGGGTAGCTGGAAAAGGTCTGGACAGTGCTGGCACCTCCTGCAGCAGACACAGGAGAGGATATAGCAGGTGCTGGTTGCAGAGATGGTGAGGTGGTCATGGTAGTGTTTTGGAGTCTCTCTAGGCTCTCCTGATGCTGTAAGTGTTCATCCCATCGGGTCTTCAAAAGATTCCACCAGTAGAGCAAATGAAGCTGACCAAGCAGTTGGGTAAAAAGGAATGTGCAACCAGTCAATAGCCATAGCAGATAGGGTGTATGATCAAGTAGATAGATAGGAAGGGAGATTACAGCCAAAAATCCAGACTCATAAAACCATATCCTCTTTTTTTCCATATCATTCCTAGAAAAAAGATAAAGAAAAGTTAGCCAGGAAACCAAAAATCAGAAAAGATTTTATATAATCAGTTGTAGGAATGAAGCCCCTTCTGCAAGTTTCTTATTACAAAAAAAAGAAAGTTTGTGTACATCTTCAAGCCTTAAAATATTAGGATTAGCTAAAAAGGCTTTTAAATGACATTAAAAGCATTTAACTCCATTCAAATAGATTTTGATTGTATTGTGGTAACTATCAGTGTGCATTTTCTTTTAAAAAGATTGCCAAAATTGGCAGATTGATTCCAACACTAAATGGAGATTCCCTACAGAATAGTGTTGTCCAGTTGAGATAGCAAAATATTCAATAGAACATTGTACCTATTTTTGTCTTTTCTTTAAAAAAAAAAAAAAAGGAGTAATGTTCCATGTGCAGCCTGCTCACAAACAAAATTGTTTGTAACAATTTTGGTTCTCACCAATTGAGGTGCAACTAAATGCACCAAAACGAAGTTACACCTTTGTCATGAGTAAATTATTCTTTGTCTACATGAAAAAAATAATAGATAAATATTACACATATAAACATATATACACCTCACTGGTTGTATACAAGTGACTCTTCATGGCTTTTGTGGATCTTGTAAAGGCATTTGACTGTGTTCCTCAGAAAATTATCTGGTGGGCATTGAGAAAACTTGGCACTGGACAAATGGATTGTGTGACTGGTTTGGGGCATGTATGCTAACACTGAGCAATGTCAGTGTCAGTCAGGGCTACAGCCAGGAATTTGAGATGAAGGCTGGTGTCCATCAGGGCTTAGTAGCCCACTGCTCTTCATTGTTGTGCTTGAGGCCCTTTCATGCAAGTTCCATGCTGGCGTCCCCTGGGAAGATCTCTACGCCAATGATCTTGTGCACATTGTTTGGGATTTGTGGCAGAATGTGGACCAGTGTCTTGGTTAGATGTGACAGCCTTCTCCTGCTACCTGGACATGTTTTGTGTGGCATGGACCTTGAAACCATAGTATAGGTAAAAAATGAACTGCTCCTGATCCTCTCTCTTTGCCATATCTCACACAGGACGTGCAGCCACATTTATGTCACTTGCATTTAGAGTGTGATGCTCCATGCCATGCAAGTGAGACCTGGCCCATGACTGGACCAAGCTTCCAGCTTAATGACAGGGACACAATTAGATGGATATGTAACATCAAACTGCTCTCTGTAGAATTCTCTTAAAGAAAAGAAAATTCCAACTTCCTGGTGGAAAGCATAGTAGTTATTTGCCAAAAAATGTTCTGGCTGTATGGAATTTTTGAAGCTGCCTGAAAGATGGTGAAAGAACAAAACAGTAAATTTATCATTCAATAACATTTAATATTAAAAATAGGTGTTAACCTGAACAAACATTTTGGCCAACCCAAATACTTCATTGCAGTTGCTTTTGTATGCGTTATACCCACCTCACATATAATGCTTAAAGTCTTAGCTTACCAAAAGAAAGTGAAAAATTTAAACAAAATGAAGATTTAATACCAAGTATATACAAGCAAGGAATAAACATTAAAAGAAAAATTTTATTCAACATTAAATATATAATAGTAGGTACCTCCCAAAATTTAAAAAAAAAAAAAAGCCCCAAACTTGATTAAAAAAATAAAAAGGCAAAGTTTAATGATCAGTATGTTTGTTATTAAGAGGAAAGACCAAAGTATTCGATTATTTTATTAAATTTTTTAATCTTTAGTATGTTCAAAATTTTGGTTAAAAATAGTTTTTCTTGTTCAAAGATTAGTAGATAATTTTAGCATCTTTTTTGGCATTAAAAACATTTTTGAAATTCTCAAGTCATATTTTAATGAAATTTTCAGGACTTACTCACAAATGAATTAAATTTTATTTTTCTTTTATATATTTTTTTATCACACACTTGAAATTGAGAAATTAAATTTTCAGCTTCTCCATATTTATTACTTAAAAGCAGGACTCCTTGGGGAATTCAAATCAATTTGTTACTAAAAATCTGCTCTAAAATAAAAAATGAAATAAAATTGACATTATTTGATTTGAAAAGCTTTTATAAATAAGATATTTTAACACTATTATCAAAAGATTTTCTTATAGATAATGAATTTTTTTTTTTTTAACAAGAATTGTTTTCATTTTAAAATTTTAATTAAAATTTTTTATTAAGTTTCAAATGTTAAAATTCTGTATTATTAGATATACAAGTGAAAAAAACTATTTACTAATTATAAATAAAATCTTGATACAAATCAAACACCAATATTTTTAAAAGTTGAATTTTTTTGTAGAATGTGCAGATTTTTGTAAGCACAGGCAACCATACAAGACATTATCAGAAACTAAGTGATTACTAAAGTACATTTAAAGCCAACATTTCTAAAATTCAATAAACATTACATCAGAGTATTTTCCTAAATACTTAAGATTACTGAGTACTAAAAAAAATTAAAGAGTATGTACATTATTTTCTGAAATTACGTTTTACAGATAAAATCTCCGTAGAACATTATACCTGTCATCAGGCTGTCAAAAGAGCTACTGTTGTGTTAATTAAAAAAATGCATTTCTGTGATATTTGAAACTTAAGTAAATAATATTCGTTTCAAATCAGTTAAGTATATTTTATTTTTGGAAGATGACAAAAAAAAATAATAAAAAAAAAAATACTTCCAGTGAATTTAAATTCGTTTTTGGAATACAGCAAATTATTCTGATTGAGAATATTTAATTTAATGTATTTGCTTGAAATTAAAACTAAAATAAGTTTCAAGAAAGATTTATTTTTTTAAATTCATTAGGTATCATTTTTTGTGGAGATCCCTATATGAAAACCATTTTGTCAGTAATGTCTGAATTAACTTCTAACAATCATTTTTTTTTCTGATATTCAATACACAATAGATTAAATGCCAAAAATGGTTAAGTTTTTTTGGATAAAAAAAAAAAAAAAAAAAAAAGGCAAACTGCCTGATATCTAGTTTGTGTAGGAAATGAAAGTTCAGTATGGAACTAGTGGTAATGAATATTAGTGCACAACAATAAAAAGTTGAAACCCTGCTTGTATAGGTGGAGTTCAAATGCAATTAATGCAAAGTTCATACATAGTAACTTATATTTTTTGCTAACCCTATTCTGCCAGAATTTTCCATCACAATACATGGAAGGTTTTGAATAAAATATTTTGTTTATTCTATTTATAAAGATTATATAAACAGTACTTTTAAACTGTTCTCTTAAGTATCTTTTTTTTCTGAAGATAGATTACAGTAAAATCTTTGTAGAGCTAATTTTTCAAAGTTTTTATGATCTATATTACTCTGCTGAAGGGTGTGTAAGACTAATAAGCTACTTGAAGCCATTTGGAGTTACCAAAAAGGACATTAAAAGCATAGCATGTCATTTTAAGCTAAATGAACAGTTTGCTATGTACAAAAATGTATTTCATGGTTGGGCTGATTGGAGGTCAAATCTGACCTCTATGGTCACAAAAGGTAGAATGAATTTGTAGGCTTTAACATCTGTATTGCAGCTAAACAATTATCTTGAGGTTAAATCAGTCAGTGGGAGTAAGTTGGACAAAAAAAAAAAAAAAAAAAAAAAAAAAATCACCAACTGAAAATTAAAAAGAATTGTGTGTGAAAATGCTAGATTTTCAGCTGGTAGCCTTATAGAAAATATTTTTAGTTGTATAAAGTCAGATAAAGCTTAAACTTACAATGCCAGAATAAAATGAGTCCGGTTGTGCATTACAACTATTATAGGGTTCCACACTAGTTTCTTTTCTCTAATGTCCCGATAAAACTTTAATCAAAATCAAAAGGTTTTTCATTTTAACTTTGTTACCATTTATAGTTGTTAGTAGCATAATAAAAAGGGCTTAAAATATTTAGGAAATAAGTATTTTGATCCAGTCAATCATTAAATTAATTTTCATACCTTGCAGCCACTACTTGGTCACAGTTTTCTCTAGGTCATATTGCAGTGAAAGTTATATTTGCAGGAGGTAGTAAAGCATTTCAATTTCTTTTTAAGAAATTAGTTGCTTTTTGAATAGCATTTTAATTAAAAATTTTGTATTGTCCTGGCATCATCTAAAACTATTGTTCTATCATCCCTGGGACAGCATTAATTTTGAACCTTGAACTATTAAGTTTACTTTTGTATAAAGTTACTATGCGTAAACAAGATTTATCTCAGAGCTGTGAAAACATTGCTTCCTACATTCTAGAGTTTGTTTGCTAAAAGGTTATTCTAAACAATCACTGGTTTTCTTCTTCATATTCAATTTTGAAGGAAGAAATTGCCTTTCCACTCCAATTACTTGATGATGAAACTGGAAAAATCAGTGATGTTTCAGTTTACAAGATTTTCAGCTCATTGAAACAAGATAAAAAAAAAATGTTCTTGTGACTTCTGGAACACTTCCCTTCTACATACACAATGTATTTTTATATATATTGTATATGTCATCTATATAAAAGGGGTATTAAAAAATTCTTACTAATTCCATTATAACTATGGTTCCAGTGTGTGTGTGTGTGTGAGTTATACAGAGATTCTACACTTTTAGGTACATATCAGATGCATGACTAATTCCAAATAAATGTTTTTGAAGTAACTACATTCAAGTGAAATGTAAGAGGTAAATTAGTGTTTGATGTAAAAAAATAAAAATTGTTTGAAACTCCAAACTTAATACTTCAAAAATTTGCTGCTTCATTTCTTTCACTTAATGCACAAAATTTGGAATTTTTTTCCTGTTTGAACGTATTTACATTTTCTTTGTATTCCAGGTCTTTTAAGGATGTAGGCAATCAACTTTTTGCTTTAAGTAGCTTGACACACAATCATCTCTTTTCTAACGGTCAATCACAAACTTCCGAAATTGGTTACGGCTTCTCTCTTCCTCCTTTTAGTGTGTCTTGCAAATTAAAGTAACCAAACTTCTTACTTATGCATCCCAGAAATTTCAACTGTTTTTAGTTCCTATTCACTTCAA